CTCGCCAGGCAATATCGATCGCCGGGCGGTCACATCTCGCTACGCGCTCGAATTGGACAGTGGGCAGGGCAAAGACGACGATTTTCGATAATTTTTTTTCTCGTTAACTATTGCGAAAATTACAAAATGTTTCAGGACTTTTCTGTTCATCTCGATCCGTTCTACCTTCTCACGAGCTCGTGGACAAATGTTATAACTCACCCTGTATAGTCTTAATACAATAATATACAATCATATCCAAAGATATTGTATAACACATTTTATGAACGCATGTTTAACATCAAGTGTCAGCGTAGATCGCGCACGCTAGACTGACTGTGTATGTTTACGCGAGTAGACAAGTTGAGAGACCCTTAGATTATTAGATCTTACTAAAGGCTGAAATAATCAAGTTTTAGTAGGCTGAATCGATATAGTTCACATTGAAATTCATTATATGTATAATGAAAATGTTTTCTTCTACGTCTTACAAGCGGAGATATTACGATGCTAAGTTAAATTCTAGTATAATAAATTTGTTTACTTATTTGTATTTGCTTGTAGTACTATAACTAAAACGGTTGCGATGGACATGACAAACTAAAAATAAAGACAGTATATAAGTTCTTATTTAAATAATTATTACGCATTTTAATATTTTTAGTATGCAGTTAGATAATAAATTTAATATACCTTATGAAGAAATTTGAAGCCAAATTGGAAAAATCCGATTCCACAGAATCTAAGTGGCACATAATTCATTTGCAATGAAAATTGTGAAATCTGTGTTAATCAAATGGATTACTTTCAATGTAAATTATTTATATTAATCTAGATTATTTATGTTTGTCATTTAGTATTTCTTCTAACGTTCAATTAATTTATATTAAAACTTACGATTTCACGAACTTCAACATCACAAGTGGAATATGATAATTTATTTATTAAATCTCGTGTGGTTTGTGCCTATAAAATTGGAATATATTAAATAAAATATAAGCCATATCTAAATTTACTAATTGAAAATTGGATATTTAATAACGCAGTCTTAAAAATAGTTTTTCAATTCAAGTGTTTTATAATTAAATTAAAAATAAATACCTTAGTGGTGACTATTTCGCACACATAATTAATCAGCAGAAATTTGCAAACGTTATGAGAAAACCAAATTAAATATATGGCAATACATACTATTTTATTAGAGTTTACATAATTGTCGATAAATATTGCGGAAAACATTATTCGTAAATCAATCACTATCCAACAAAAAGAATATGCCATTTTAAAAGTCATTTCTGTTCCAAATATTGAGTTTATTTCTCGGGATATTTTATGTAATTCTAAATGAAGATGTCTGCAATGTTGAATTTTACAGCATGAAATTGTTATAATAAATACAATTTACGAAAATTTTCTTACATTACTATCCATATGATGCATTTACTGTTTAGAACTTTAAAAAATCTCCGTTGATGTGAATGTATCATGGAATTTGCCGAAGTCTGTTTTATGCTACACGTATTATTTTTTATTAAATCCTGAAGTTCTTCATTGACTTGATCAAACTTTACTCCTATGTATCTGTGAAAAAAGTTGCTGAATAACAAAATCGTTATTTGTAAATTGTAACTGTTTATATTAGTATTTGTAAATTGTAGCTATATTATATTAGCATTTTCTAAAGTGTTTAAAAAACTTTCGTAAAATATTTATGCCATATAATTTATACAAACGGCTATTTTATAAGCTCTTTGTATATATAAAAAGACATACTCACCCAAGGACACTTGCAATAATCAAATCACTAATTACACCAATATGAAAAATATGATTTAATAAAAAGATAATAAGAATAGCTGTTACAATTCCACAATCATATTCAGACTCAATATATAACGCTGAACTGCAATTGAGTAATATAACTGTTATGGACCATCCTAAGATGAGCCACAATGTTTTCGTGTGTAGCTTGTCATAATCTGTCACTGTTCCGAGTTTAAACAGTGTCTTGTCGACAATATCGAGTTTTTTCAAACAGCTTTGAAATTTCTGGAATATATAAGTAGACATGTAACTACTATTAAAAAAATTTTTTTTCTTTAAAGTTTACTAAATGTTGTAGCTCTGCTGTTCTCGTAACTTTTTATTATTAATAATTAGTTATAATGTCTTCTTACCTCATTATAGTATATCCCAAATACGATTGACAGCAATGTTACAAACATTTCCAGCGCATAGCCAAAGTAGAACTCGGTGGGATAAAATTTAATTAAATTAGGTATTAATACTGATATTGAGAGAAAATAATAAATCACCCAAACTATTAGCATATATAAGAAACGAAACCGTAGTCTTGCATAACCTATAGGTAAAGTGGCGACCCTTATGCCGAAAACATAACTGATTATTAGAAGCGGCATTAAAATTGTCCAAATACTTTGACTCATTGCACACGCTATTGCTCCTTTAAACTACTCTTGTTTTACTGACTTGATACTTACAAAAGACGCACCGAAAAATAATGGTAGTTGTTCTTCGGGAATGTAGGCAAATGAAGCCCCCTCGTTGTTCTTTGTCACTGCTATTAAAGCACTTATGGATATTAAGTAATCAATCAACTGAAATTTATGTGACATGATCTGTTGAAATAGGACAGATGATAAAGTACTTCTTTTTACACGTAATAGACATGTTCACATAGTATGAATATAGTTTTTGACATTTTTGTTTTTTTATTTCTTCATTATTCTCTCTCTCATACAGTGCTGTAGTACATAAACATATTTTCAACTTATTAGTTTTAATTACAATTACAGTTGTAATAAATAATTAACATACAAATATATTATGCCGCACTAAAACGACCCTAAAGTTCAAGCTGAATCAAGCTACTTTTCAGTACAAAGATGCACAACGTTCCCTTGATGAGAATAGTTGGTATATTGGAAAATATATACATAAACATATACTTTTTAGTATACCAACACATTTGTATTTATTCTTTATGTAACAAATATATGTATATTTTTAAAATTCCAACTATTCTCTGCTTTAACAAAAAGCATAAATAATTGTCTTGTTTAACCATTTGACTGAAATTATCGTATATAAATAATATGATATAATTGAAGTAAAGCACAAGAATATTGCACGTATGTATTAATATAAAACAATGTATTCATATTATTATTATCTTACCAAAAAATATCGAAATACTTTAAAAATAAATTAAAAATGAACGGAATATGAGCAAGGATGCCTTCTTAAAATCTTATTTAAGGGCTAAAATGAACAATATTGAAATTACAAAAAGAACGGAGAGGTTGTTGTAGTATACCAAAACTTTAGACAAAGAATAGTTCTCTTAAATGATGAGAATCGTGGAAGGATGTAATCAGATATAAAATTATAATGGAGAATATTTATCATTTATTTGGTATATTGTGTAGAAATGTTATTAAGATACTTTTTCAATTATTAATTCCTTCCTTTAGGACTAATGTGGACATATCAAAGCATTATTCAAAAGGTACCATATAATGTATTTTAAAAACTGGATAATATACATTGATTATTATTTTAATTATGTATTACACACTTTGTTATAATTTTATAAAAATATTTACTTATTTTCACTTGCTTGTATTACTATAACTAACACAGTCACAACAGACATGATAAACTAAAAAAAAAGACAATGAGTAAATTTTTTATGTAAATATTTATCGCGAATTTAAATTATGTAATTGTATGTAATTATATAAGTATAACGTACCCTGTGAAGAAATTTAAAGCCAAATTGGAAAAATCCGATTCCACAAAATCTAAGTGGTACATAAACCATTTGCAATGAAAATTGTAAAATCTGTATTAATGTAATGAATTATTTTTAATACTCTTGTTGGGTATTTATATTTATTTATACAGTTATACTAAATGTTTATTTTAATAACGTATCAACAAAATAATTTTAAAACTTACGGTTTCACGAACTTCAATATCACAAGTGGAATACAATAATCGATTTATTAAATCTCCTGTTGCACTTGCCTAAAATTAGAATATGCTAAATAAAATAGAAGTTGCCTCTAATGCAGTAATTTAAGATAGAATATATCTTAGCAATCAAATTTTTGTTAAAAGTAAATTTTAAGTATGTCTAAGTAATGTTTGAGATTAAACGTGAAATCAGTACCTTGGCGCTGACTGTCTCGCATACATAATTAATGAGCAGAAATTTAGCAACATTATGAAAGAACCACAATAGGTTTATTGCGGCACTCATTATTTTATCAGATTGTACGTAATTGTCGCGAAGTATTGCATAGAAAACTCCTCGCGCATCAAACACTAACCAACCAAAATAGCATGCCATTTTGACAGACATTTGTGTTACGAATATTGAGTCTATTTCATAGGATATTTTGCGTAACTCTAACTGAAGATGTCTGTATAAATATTACATTTTATTCTGTACATACTCTATACAAATGTTCAATTTTATTTAATGATATTTATATAGTTAATGAAATTTAGTTAATCTTTCTTACATAATGATCCATATCACACGTTTGCTATTCATAGTTTTCGAAAATTGATGTCCGTGTGAACGCATCATAATATTTTCCAAAATCTGTTTCATTTTACGATCGTCATTTGTTGTCATATAATAAAGATATTTATTAATTTGATCAAATTTTAATTCTATATACCTAAATATATAAAAAAGAATTAATAGCTAATATTGTAGTTAGAAGATAAGTGTACCCATATGTGTATCAAGTTGAAAAATATTTTAATATAACTTAAATTTTTATAGCATTATAATTTTTATAATATTAATGATTTAGTTTTATTAATTCATGTACAGTATCGGTCAAAATTATGTTATCTTTAGGTTTTCTGAGCGTAAGTTTCGTCAAAGTACATGGTGTCTACTATAAAATGTGTTACAAATTTTACAGTAGACACCTGCTAACAGGTGCATCTTGTACACGCACCGGCATAAATGCCGTCCCTATCCGTGTGAGACTCACGCACACAAACAAGCGGGTGACTAATCCGATCGTCGGACGACCGCGGCACGACTTTCGGATTGGTCGTTCGCTTGTTGTGTGTGTGTGCGCCTCACACGGATAGGGACGGCATTTATGCCGGTGCGTGTACATGAAGGGTAATAAACTGTGACAAAATACATCACGATGTTCGAATTTTTTATTTGTGCACTTTAAAACTAGTAATGCTCAAAACATTAAAAGGTGATATAAATTTGGCCGGTACTGTATGTGATTATATTCTACAAAATAACTGTCATATATGTAAAAAGTTGTACTAACCCAAGAATAGTTGTAGTAGTCAAGTCACCAATAACATTAATATGAAAAGAATAATTTCGTACAAAGACGGCAAACATAGCAGTAAAGATGTTACAGTCCTTGTCAACTTTTACAAATAATGCCGTTACAATATTTATTGATAAGACTATTATGAACCATCCTGAGACAAGCCACAGTGATTTTTTATATAGCTTATCATAATCTGTCACAATTCCGAGTTCTAACAGTGTATCGTCAACAATATCAATCTTTTTTAAGCAGTTCTGAAATTTCTGAAAAAAATGCAATTAGACGAGTTCACACACAAAGTAGAGAAAATAATTAACATTTATAAAAAAAACAGTATAATACATCTTGTATCAAATATCAAACGCATTTTACCTATTTATAAAAACATAACATAATTGTTATTGCATCCTTTTGCACATCCTTACATAAAATTCATTTAACGTAATTATTTTGTCACATATGCAACGAATTTTATCAACACATATTGCATCAATATTTGATGACATTATAGGTATGGAAATACGTGCAAAATTACTTATTACATTAATGATCATGTGCAATAACATTCTCTTACCTTATTATGGTATGCACCAAACACAATTGATAAAAAATTTATAAGCATCTCCAACCAATAGCATATGTGGTATTCAATTGGATAAGAGTTATTGACGGAATATATTAGTGAACATGTTGAAAGGAAATAGTAAATTAACCAAACTAACAATATATATAAAAGACTAAACCATAGCTTGAAATGATTTACAGATAAATCAGCAATTCTTAAACCAAACACACAACTAATCGTTAGAAATGGCATTAAAATCGTTCGAATATTTTTGGTCATTGTATACACCGTTGCTATTACAAACTGCACTTGTCTTGGCCAGTAGAATGCATAAGATGTATCGTAATAGCGATAGTGGCTCCTTGCAATTTTAATCAAGGCACTTATAGTTATTAAAATACTCAATCAACTATAATTATATGTCACAATCTATTAACATAGAATGATGGATATACTAACTGTTCCAATATGAAACTGATATGTTTATACACCAAAAATGTCAATATTATTCTTGACATATTTGTTTTTATTTCTTGACTTTTATATTATATTACAATACATGGATAAAAATTTTATAAAATAAAATTCTTTTAAGTTACGATTAAATTATAATTATTTAGCTGCAATAAATAAATACATCATATATCATAAATATTAAATATATGCAATTATAAAATGCTTCTGTCCATTATAGTAGAAATGTTACTTGTATTGTATAATTATATGAAAAACTGTATGCAAAAAATATAATTCTCCTTATAATGAAGAGTATTGTGGATAGATAAAATCGACATAAAAACATAATAAAGAATAATTACTTACTTGGTGGTGGTGGGGATTTTTTTAAATGTATGATGGGAATAATTACTTACTTTTTATTGCATAAAATGTATTTTTACTTTTTCACTCATTAATTCTCAATATTAATATATAAGTTGCAAATCCAAAAGATATTGAATAATACATTTTATGTATTA